CCCCCAGAAAAACGTGTATTATTCGCTAGATTTAGATCTAGATCTAGTATAGCAAGGTTTAACAATGTTTCGTCCTCCTGCACATGCACTGGCATGACGGGACGAACAAGGCTAATCGACTGCACTGTCACTTGTGTTGTGAAGAAGTAGAGGAAGGAGTACGTAGTAGAAGCAAACATTATAATAGGTCTATGTAATGATAATAAGGCCCAAGGATAGATCTAGATCTAGATCTAGATCTGGTCCTAGTAGACCCACTAGGCCCACTACATTAGGCCCTTCTAGACCTAGATCTAGTTACTGATACTAGATCTACAATCTATTATCTAATCTAGATCTATATCTATATCTTTAGGATTCTAGGTCTAGAGTCTAGGTATTTTAGATCTAGATATAGATCTAGATCTAGATCTAGATCTAGAATCTAGATCTAGATTCTAGATCTAGATATCTAGATCTAGATCTAGATCTAGAGTTAGGCCTAGATCTAGAATCTAGATCTAGATCTAGATCTAGATCTACACATGAGAAAAACGATATTAAATAAGGTTAATGAAAAAGTACATGTGCAAATTCTTACATTTCAGGGTCCTTTGGAAAGCTAAAGAATGCTAGGTCTGGTACTTGTGCGATCTTGAATTGGCACGGACGCAGACTGTCGCAGAACACCACTTACACTTGCGGGTGACTTGCGACTGCCGACAGCCGCCATTAGCTTTGTTTACCGCGCCTCGTTTCACAATCAGCTGGTGACCTGGATACGCGAAAAGAGGCTTCGTTTCCGCTCTCTATGCCGAGACTCAAGAAAGCAACGACTAGATCTAGGCTAGGCTAGTCTGAAAATTAAAAGTGTCGTTTCGTTTTGATTTCCAGAGTTCCCGGAATCGCGGTATTCCTTCATTCCTTCCGGAATAGTTCGTGATCAAGTAAATCCACCATTGGCCTTCAGTTGAACTACAGTACAGCCTCTCATTTTGTGCCCAATTCCCATCGTCGCGTAAGAAAAGCGTAAGCTATTAAATTCCCAAGGCCAAAGTCTATTAATCCCCGACTCAGACCTTCAAAACTTTGAACTGGGCCTAAAAATGCGCAAATTACCGTAATTTTGTCATCATGAACAGATGGTATTTAATTTATACAGTGGTTTTCGGTCTTCCATTGTGATTTTGGAAGCCATTGAGTATAATCTGGATTAGATAGTTCTAGATCTAGATCTAGAATCTAGTCTATATCTAGATCTAGATCTATATCTAGATAGTATAATCTGGATTTCTTCTAGTCTAGATATAGAATCTAGATCTAGATCTAGAGTGGTCGCTCGTTACAGAAAAGGGAATAACATCAATTCTTAAAGAATTTAACGTGCTAAAGTATAAGATCACCCTAGATCTAGATTCTAGATCTACAGTCTACATCTAGATCTAGAATCTAGATCCAGATCTAGATCTAGATCTAAATCTAGATCTAGAATCTAGATCTAGATCGATCTATTATATATATAGAATCTAGATCTAGATCTAGATTCTAGTTCTAGATCTAGGCCTAATCATGTTCTTGTCAAATTTGAATGCTTGTGAATCATTATCATGGGGTAGATGATTTTTATCTAGATCTAGATGTTACCCCATCTTGTGAGCCCTGAGCGATGCAGATGGTCAGTGTAGTGTGGGTATGAAATCTCACTACTGCCCGTGGGAGTGCTTGAGTAGCGAGCCTCTACGGAAACTTTCCTGGGTAGCCAGAAGCCAGAGGTGTGAAATTAGATTGAACAATGCCTGCCACCCTGATCGTACGACATGTCGAGAAAAGAGTTCCTAGAATCGTTGTCATGTTACAATGATGGCATTGGTTGGTGGGGCTAGGGGTGGAAGCAAAGGAATCTAGAGATGTTCAAACGTTTCTGTTTTTAATAGGTCAAACAGTGGTCCTATGAAAGGCAAGCACTGGTGGTATTTTTTTGATAAGTAAGACTGACGTGTGTCATCAGACAGGATAGCAGTTGAGAGGTCTGAAGTTTTGACCACTGCTTGCCGATCGGACAAGCGATCCTTGATCCCAGTGGCAGGGCCTTTTGACACCCCCCTCCCCCCAACCTCCATCTCCCCCTAAATTCCCCTGTCTAAAAAATAATTTTTTTCTGGCTCCCTTGCGATTCCGTCTTACACAGGTTCGACTACAATTTTTAATTGCAAAACTTGTACAAGAAATTATTTTTATTGTGAACACATTTTTTGCACTATGGTTCTCAAAACATGTGTTCAATAAAATAAGCATAATGTCCTGATTAGAAAAACATGTCGGACTTGCTATTAAAAGCAATTGCCCCAGCTGTAAACATTTAAATCTGTAGTAACCACCCACTTGGATTTTTTATTTGTATTTATAAATGAAGGAATTTTCTAGAATACATCTAGCAGGTGTTTACAAAAATGTTGATCTGTTAAGACAAATTGATACAAGTCATAGTGTAAAAATTAGAGAATCTATATATGTTCGATAGTTGAGGAGATATTTGACAATAAGTTGCGCTACGAACTTTTGACCGCTCTATAGATTGAGCTGTCCTGTGCAACCCAACTCGGAAATGACAGTCTCAGCCAGGAACCTCACACTTGCAGCACACCGGTCGCCTGATGAAAGCGTGAATTCCACATGAAGCGAATTTTACCGGAGAGGGGAAAAAAACGATTTTCTCTGTCATTTGACATTCAAGATATATAAGATTATTATGCACTAAATGGATAAATATAGTTCTGTACCTCTAAGAAATAATGCTAAAGTACATTTTTTACCGTAGATGGTTATTCTTTCAAAAATTATGGGATTCACGATTTGTATAATTTTCTAATCTTAACTGATGCGGCCGGTGGAATTAAGGATTTCATCTTATGGAACACCGTTTTGTATTCACGCTTATTAAACAGTGTGTTTTCTTTTATATTAGAGGCCCCGGTAGGTTTTAAAATATTATAAAAGTTGGTAGGCCTAACACTGTTATGAAAAAGATTTTTAATGACCAATTTAAAACTGAGTATGAAATTAACAGACTGGGTGAAACAAAAAAGCTATTCTTTATTATACCACTATAGTATAAACATCTATTATATTCTTTCATGAGTGAGAAATTGTATTCAATATTCGCGCTCCCTCTCTCTCTCTCTTGCTATCTTTCTTTCTCCAAATGTGTGTATGTATAAAATAAAATACGTCTCTATCCTTTTTCTTAGTGGGGAGTGAAGGGGGGGAGGGGTTATGGGTTGAGAACTTGATTTGCATCAAACTTCTATACCCCGTGAATGACTGAATGATTATCTCTCATCATTTTCTTCTTTTTGTCTCTCAGATCCTGAAATTTACTACTTACAATTTTTAGAGGAGAATGATACGGTGGTGGGGAACTGTTACTGTTTGTGAATTTTTCCATGTTTCTGGAATTTGGGAGACCCTCCCACTCTTCATCATAGTTCAGTTTGGATCTATAATATTATGATGTCAATTTGGTCAGATTATTGCAGTCAGAATCAAACTTTTATGTAAGTTGTTGTTGTTGTTGTTATCGATCCAGCAACAGCTGGGCTCTCGCCCTTCTGTCCAATGCCATGTATTGATAAGTGCAGGTTTGCTGCTGTTTCTGTAATGTTCCATAGAGTGTGTTGTCAATGTTAGGTCTCGGAGGGAGAAGAGTAGCTCTGATGTCATTTAGGGCTGCGCAGTAGAACAGGTGATGATCCACAGTCTCATATGCTTAGTCACACAAGGGACACATTGGGGGAAGTTCCGGGTTTATTCTGTTCAGGTGGGAAGTTGAGCTGTATATGTTTTGTTCGTAGGCGGAAGATCGTAGTCTGTTTCTTTCTCTGTATGTGGTTGATATTGTCATTCCTTTTTGTTGTGGTCATGTGTTTGAAAACTGATCTGCCTGTCTTTCCCAGGGCCGATCTGTTCATCCAATCTTGTTTGCTGTTGCTTTTAATGATTTGTTTTGCAGTGTTGTATGAAGTTGGAATGTTGGGTTGTTCCTGTCTAGATCCACATTTAGCAAGTGTGTCTGCTCTGTCATTTCCAGATATGTTTGAGTGTCCGGGGACCCACTGCATTACTAGGTTGATACCACGGAATGTTATCAGATGATGGGAGCCAAACAGTATATGAGTCAAATCTTGGTTTAGATGATGGTCATTTTCTATGGCTTGTAAGACTGATGATAGTGAGTCAGTGAAAATCACAATACTCAGTGCTTTTCCAGGATGAGTGTCAAAAACTGTGCGGAGATGGTACAGTGCTGTTTCAATTGCCATCATTTCTGCATCGTAGTTGCTGCATTTCTCTCCACAGGCTGCAGAGATCTCATTGGAACTTCCATCTGGGTACTGTATTAGTATTCCATATCCGGCTTTGGTTCTTGTGCCTTTGAATGCTGAGTTGTATGTATAGACGTGTATCCAGTCATCTGAATAGCTGTCAATTGTTTGATGTGATGCAAGCATCAGCGTCACTGGGTCACTTTCATGTAAGAAATGTAACAATCTGACAAGACTAATATATCGAAAACGCTCCCTCTCTCTCGAAGTAATGTGACTCTCTTTACACGGCACCAGTCGTCGTATTTCAAGGAACCAGATGATGGGGAAACAGCTTGAACTTTGTTGTTTGATATCAGTAAGAAGAGACAAGGACAGTTTGAATCTGCCTGATTTGTTATATAAGATTGTAATATCAAGTCTTAAAGAAATTGTGAAACGAGACTGCATTGTGTCGCCACAATACATTCACTTCTTAAGTGTGTGTGTGTGTGTGTGTGTACATGGTGAAACATCATATCAATGTCCCAGGATCTGGACAATAAAGATGTATCTTATCTCCCTACCCCTTTGGCAATTTTTACACAATTTTTCATTTTTGTCTCCACACCTTTTATTATGTCCCAATAAATCCACATTCCTGTGTGGATGGTACTGGAAAATATTGATACTGTACTTTAACTTTCACTTTTTCATCCTCTGTTGCCGTTAAGCGTCAGGGGAGATGCAGTTTTCTATGGTAGGCCAGCTCCGCAGCTCTTTCAGATTTGATAATTTTATTATGTTTTCTCAGGGTTTCCTTGACTCTCTCAATCCTCCTTTTGCGTGGCCTTCCTCTTCCTTTATAGCCTGAGTGCTTGGTGTTGTAGGCTCTCGAGGCTGACTGGCCATGTGACCTACGTAGCAATAGGTGGCCAGACCATTTTATTCTCTTTTTTTCTATGAAATGCAAGCTTGACTTAGTGCCAATACCTGCTCTTACTTCTGTTCTCTGCCTGTCTCGTCTTGTGATGTTAAGGGTTTTGCGGAGACATTTCATTCCGCATGCAGTGGTTTTGCTTTCATGAGTTTTACTTAAAGATAATGTCCAGGTCTGGCACTGGTAGCATAATGTTTTTATGAATATTGAAGTGATAAGCTGTCTCTTTGTATCCATGGAGATTTTTGGATGAGATAGGAGGGGTACGTGCTGGTAGGTGACAGTGTTGGCTTTTTGAGTTCGCATTTCTATTTCTCTGTCTATGGACCTGTTTTCAGAAAAAGTGCTGCCAAGATATTTAAACTCCTTCACCTGTTTCAGTCTTTTAGTATTGACATGGATGTTCAGGGGACTATGGTTTCGGCTCACTTTCATAACTTCTGTTTTTGATGTGCTAATTTTCATGTTAAATTTCTCACAGCTGTTGTTCAGTTTGGTAATGTGATCTTTGTTGGTTTGGATGAATAAGACATTGGTTGCCTGCAAATAGAAGTTCATTTAGGCTTTCTGGGCTTTGGTTTGCGTCTTGCGTTATTGTGTCCATGTATGTTATAAAAATGAGCGGATACAGAGCACATCCCTGTCGTACTCCAGATCTTACTTTGAACCAGTCTGTATTGCATTCCTTCCCTCTTACTGAGCTTCTGCTGTTGGTATATTATATAGAGCTCTGACATTATCTAACAGCAGTCCTCTGACGCCATACTTTTCGAGTGTCTTCCAGAGTTTTGCATGGTTTACTCTGTCAAAAGCATTCTCCTTTTCTATAAAGACGATGTTGGATTCTTTGTTGTGTTCGATGGTTTTCTCACTTATCTATTGTAATGCGAATACAGCATCCGTACATCCTCTTCCCTTTCGGAATCCAAACTGAGCTTGGTCACATTTCTCTCTGCAATAGGTCTGATCCGCAGTTCTAATATCTTTGCGTATGTTTTCCCTGCGTGGCTTAATAGATGCCTCTGTATATTGTGTAGTCGCGATTGTTGCCTTTCTTTTTCCATAATGGAACCACTGTGGCTTTCTACCAGTCTTATGGGCATTTCCTTTGCTCCCAGGCTTTATGAAAAATTCGCCTCAGCCACAGTACACCGGTGTTTCCACAAGCTCTTATGGCTTCCGCTGTGATGTCGTCTGGTCCCGGGGCTTTGTTCTTGGGGCTGGTTTCGAGTGCCGTTTCGATTTCACTGAGAAGTATGGGTGGTTCTGTTTGCTCTCCATATGATGGTTGGAACTCTTCTTGTTGTCTGTGGCAAGCGTCTGGGTTGAGTAGTTCTTGGAAGTAATTTTCCCATCTTTTCTTAATGGCATGCTTGCTGAGAATGGCATTACTTTCTTTATCTTTTATAATGCATGTCAGGTTGTATCGATCTTTCCTTACCCGCATGCTGCTTTCTCCTTTGTTCTTCTCGTTGCATAATTTATCTGCTGTCGGCTTGCTAGGCCTGTCAAGGTTTCACCGGAGCCCCTTTAGCCAGCAACGTTTTGGGGTGACCCGGGTTGGCCTTCATTGCCAGCCTAACGCCTCTGTGATATGAAGTCACACCATACTTCAGCCAGACCCAGCTATCCCCTACTTTGTCCTGTTTCCATCTCCCCCAACAGGGACGAAAAGTTAGACTTTCAGAAGCTATTATAGGCACAAAAAAATATAAATTTGAAATTTCCAAGGATTCTCAAACTTTGGAAGTCACTAAACTTTGACGGCCATTTTCTCGGTAATTTTACCTCTGAAACAAGGCGCCCCCGCCCCCTCCTTCAATCGCAAAAATCTCAACTTCTGTTTAAAATAGACGTCTACTTTTTCATCGAAAGCAAAGCAAATAAAGAGGATTCAAGATTATACCATTAACTCGATATGTCTAAAAATTGACGAGCGCTTTCTTCTACTGAGTGATGACTCATATTACTAACAATTTACTTTTTTTCCCTTCATTTTAGGTGTGCTATTTTTATACACGTACTGTACATAACGTGTATGTGGAAATTCCTGTTTTTATACAACTTTTCAGATCACAGTGTGTCCAGGGACCTTCCCTAAGGTTGCAGTGATAACAAATGGCGCATGGACGCTGGCCCTATCCCAATGACATAAGTCCTGATGCCTCTCCTATGTCATCCCAAGGCAAGTGGCTGTTGATATGCAGTGGAACTCGGATTTAACTAGCTCGGATTCAACGAGAACTCGGATTCAACGAGAACTCGGATTCAACAAGAAGAGATAGATTCCCCGGTTTTTTTTCTTCTTTAAAATCAATAAAAATAACCCGTATTTAACGAGCACTTAAATCAGCGTGCTCGGATTCAACGAGGTTGCTTCCAGAGTGAACAGCCCCCGCAGACGTGGCTTCGCCCATTTTTCTCCCAAAACGAACTTTATCTATTCCCAGAAATCATCCATTGCACCAGCATCGTGAACCATTATTCACTTAACCGATTGCATGCGACCAATCAGCGGCCTTTTTTCATACCATGTATACCAACACATGCGTTGTTGGCACGCGCACGTGTCTACTCTGGTGTGTGTCGGGGTCGGATGGGCGGCTTGCACACGTGTGGCTGTGTGTGCGTGTCGGAGAGGGGGCGCACTAGCGGTCCGCGCGTTGGACGTTACATATACAAACGGCAAACGCATCAGTCTTTTTTTTCCCTCGTCTACTGATCATTATAATTACAATGATAAGCTAGTCTTGACGTAGATCTATGTAATGAATTGTGCACTGGTCTATGGAATCAAAAGTTGCCGTATGGTAAGCTCTACACAGCATCTCAACTTTTTGGCGAACAATCGAGATGACACAGGCGTGTGCATTTGAAGAATCGGTCTTTATTTTTTACACAGCTCATAATTTGCAGGCATTTCAGGCACTACTTGTCACTTCTCTTTGTACATTAGGGCCTACTTGCTCAGTGCCTGTAATTATCTACACAAAACCTTGTGTTTGCTATAACGAACACTCGTATTCAACGAGATTTTAGGTCAGGCCCGGCGACCTCGTTGAATCCGAGTTCCACTGTATTATATTTGATCAGAATGTTTAGTTTGCAGGTGATGATTTTTTTTTCAATATATGAAGGGAATTTCTGCCTTAGACTTGATAAATGAATGAAGTATAGTGCCACTTAACAAGGAGTTCTGTAGCAGAATAATGATTATTGACAGGAATAATGATATAAGATTTCAAAGGTTTCCTACGATTTTTCACGTTGTAGTTTTTCTTCATAGCATGAGATGGCTGTCAAACATACAAGTAAAATTTCCCAGCTACAACTACTGTCAAACACAGGTTTGTGTTAAAAACTGCTCTACGATTTTGAGGAAATGAAACATGGTCAAAACTTCGAAGTATGGAGTCACTATTTGTGCTATTCCTGCACTGTTTGGGAATGGGTTTTTTTAAAGTCCAACAGTGATTCTCGGCTCAGTGTTTGTTGGTCTGCCTCTTCACTCATTTTTTGCCCACCAAAATTTTTATTTGCAAATAAACAAGCACTCGTTTTTAATGTCCGCAAATAATGAACAAATAAACAAATCACTTGCTGTATCAGACTGCAGGCAGGCAGAATTGATCACTACACTGCAAAGATTCATTATTTGTTGCTCGAGCAAGACGCTACTCATTTGTAACATCATGGAAAAGCAAGCCTGCTGAGCCTGCGATGTTTATCTTGGTTGGCTCATTCATGACGTCACAGTCACAATGTCGATGCAGTCCCGTCAGCGCGATGGGAGTTGACCTTCAAGGAACAAGGCATTGTTCGAGTACACGTTGATTCTATCACCCTGGCGTCTGATGTCCGCAACCCATTTGCTTGTTTTTTAGTACTGTAATGAATCAGTTATTTTAGATCTTGGCCCATTATTCTTAAGTCCTAGCTACTTCTTGTCTATGAATTTTGATCCTATCTGTGTCCTATGTGCTGAACTCAGGGTTATTCGTTTAACCCACTATCTGCAAAGTGGTTCTTCTCATTGTTCGGCGCCCCCTCTGTGCTCCCTGGTAATGAATCGGTATGGAGCACTCGCTACACCACTACTCTTCAAGTAAACCAGCCCCAGCTTGAGCAGCACAGCTCACATTCTTCATCGTCTCTAAATTCAATGGTCCTTGTTATCTCCCCCACCACACCCGTTCAACCAATGTGCTGGCCTGACAGACCTCACGAGTGTGGCAGCTAATGGCGTTTTTTTTCTACAAAACATGATTGCATGTATGTATGGCCCCTAACTCCTCATTACTAGCTGTGATACGATGAGGCCACATGAACATTCATAATGCTTTGAATTTCGAATAGGGCAGGGAAGAGTTTGGTGCGCCAGCCTATGCAAAACATCCACTGTGCTTCAAAATCATGATCCCTTGATTTATTCATGGTATGACTAGTGAAAATTGAAATGTAGTGAATACTTCTTTGAGAAATATGTTTGTTGTGTTTTCTTATATGATTTTAGATATTATAATATGCTTTAATTTTATGACGCGTTGAAAAAATCCTTTATTTAAAAAAAAACGCCTGTCATTTAAATGGCTCTGCCATGATGTTGAACAGTAAAATTGAATGGGCACAACGCTGGTGTTAACTGTCTAATATATGTGTATGATTAAGCTTGCTTTTATTTGAACTAAAAGAGCACACCTTCAGCTGTCTTGAACACTACTCAATATCTTTATATTCTCAATAAATAACCAACTGGTCAGCTTTGCTAGAGAGGGCTTCATCAAGGTGCTTTGCTGGACATAGCATAAGAGTTGAAGTTTATTGTGGAAAGGAGGGAGGGACTTGTCTTACAAAGACTTTTAATTGCATATATATTTGTGTTTGCAGATCTAGAAGACAAGAACTATGTGGTAATTCAGCATGCTACGAACGTTGTGCAAGGCAACTTGACTGTGATACATGGAGAACCCAGATCCCAGCAAAAGCAGCGTCCTCGTAGAGAAAGGAAGCCCAAAAAGCCTATTACAGGTAAGAAAAATTACATGGTTTATTGTCTGTATACAAAAATGACTTTCACAAATGAAATAAAGGTTTTTTTAAAATGAAAGATTTTAGTTTTTGTTGAGTGCAGAGTATATTTTATTATAGTTTGAGAGACGTGTTTTTTCTTTCAATAATCTTTAATTATAATTATTGACGAATTGAGCCCTGACTTATTTACTGTTCACAGTTCCTAGAACCTGAGTCTTTGTGGATACAACAGCCACTGCCTCAAATATTGTCTGCATAAAAACCTGCTTTTGCTAAGTGTTAGAATTTTTTCATAATATTCTGCTTGTCTAATAACTTGTTATCTCCTCCAATAAGACACATGTGTGAGAGACCTTATGAGGATGTGTGGGGAGAGAAGGGGTGGCAGGGATGCCAACCAGTACAACTTAACGTAATTTAGTAGGATTTTTTGCCGAAAATACGCGAATACGACTTTTCATGAAAAAATACGCATCATGGAATGCGAGTTAACCTAATTATCTGAAGTCCCATCTTTTGTCAAAATAGTATCAGTATCGCAGAACTGGAATTTGAAAACCAAGTCCGATATGGTCATTAAGTTCATTTTTGCCGGTCGCGATCGTGATATTATATTTGTTCAGCTTTTCCCCGTCCGGAGAGTACCTTTCACTTTCACGCGAATAGGCAGCTATGGCGGCAGGCGGAAGCGATCGGGAAAATTAAGATATACTTTCGCTTTCGTTACCACCGAGAAGTTTGCCAGCAGTTGTCTGATAATGCAACATTTGTGACGTGCAGGTTGTGCAGTATAAATGCAATGTCGCCGTGCAAATAAAATTTAATCAATGCTCGGGACTCGTCTCTGTGCTGTCACTTGTGGAAAAGAAAAGAAAATGCAAGCCTCGTCCGATTTTTAGATTGTCTGGCTCGCCATCGTGACCGGTCACTGAACCTGCGCGCATTCGCGTCATAAATAAATACGGCATCGTAGTGAGTAAACACTGTCTTTGGTGGGAGTAACGGCGTTGCGAAGTATAGGACTACGGAATAGGGGAGGAGATTATTGATTGGGGGGGGGGGGGGGGTTAATTTTAAGGCAACACCAGAGGACAAAAACTTGGAAGCACATTTCAGAATTTTGATTAGAGCTTTCTGCAAAGCGCGCGTTGGTGCAGACCGTGTGCGGAGTCGGGACCCTTCATACTTTGCAAGTCTGTGTTATTGAAATAAAGTGTTCGCATTTCATTGGATGGGTAATAGTAAATTATACCTACAGTGATGTAATTGTAGCTTTCTGTTCAAGACTGACGGATTTTCAGTGTCACTGCATCTTGCCCGGTCACAGTTGTTACAACTTTCACAGTGCGTGGGTCTACTTAATTGAGCCATTCAAGTTATTGCTTTTCTCTGAGTTTGAACAATAATTTGAGTCTGTCACTTCATATTATGAATCATGACGCCCAGACTGGTTCCTGATAGTCAAAATTCTTGTTCAAGGCCCTTCCGAACTCTCAAAGCAGGATTGATTTTTTATATAATAATGAGAGGAAAATGTTACCGGTATATAATAGACTGAAATACTGAAGTCAAACCAGACCACAGTACGACATTTAACACTGACATGTGGTTGACTGGATACGTGTATATTGTACGCGTGTGTCCTCCCTTTTTCGAGCTGGTGAGCTAGTAATTTTTTTTCAGGAAATATTGCTGAACACCCTGAACATTTTACTATTATTAGTTGGTCGGTCGTGGGGAATGCACATTTCCCCCTGAAAATACACATTTTCATATTTCCCAATACTCATTTCGGTTTTCTGTGGTTGGCATCTCTGGGGTGGGCAAGTAAACTTTAGTTTCTTCTAGGTTTTTTTCCCCAATTCCCTATTCATTCTCTTTCTTCAAACTCAGTGTTGTGAAGACTTTAATACGCATAATACTCAAAGCACGAAAATTTGCGGGCACTCAATACAAGTAGCTGGTTCTGCCATATGCCCCACATGAAATATATATATATATATTCGACTGGGATTTTTGCCCCTTAAAAATGTTGAGCTTAAAATGTTAAGGTTAGTCAACTCATTATATTATCTTGGTTCCAGTACCGGTTCTCATTATTATACAGATGTATATTTCTGTCACAGTCCGTGCCGGCTTTAAGCTCGCCGGCATGAAGGACGTTTCGGACTCAAGCCCGCTAAACGGCTCTTACCGAATTTTTGCTATATAATCACACGCCTTTAAGCACGGTAACTTAAGCTTCAGGCACGCTACATTTACAAGACAGCAAATACTTGCATGATGACCCTTCGAAGTTCGAACACAGTCTACACCGCAGCAGTGAGTGTGTAAGAGAAACATAAAGAACGCAGGTGAGGGAGACACACGCTCACATGGGCTGAGAGGAAGGCAGAGAGATGCACACAGCCACACACGTGGACCTAGAATCTAGCCTTTGGCAAAGCTTCACTCAGAAAAAAAAATACAAAAAGAGTCGGGGAGACGAGAAAAGGAGGCTGGCTGCGGTTTCACCTTTGCCCCTCGCTATCCGATTACATGTGTATCCTGATTATGTATCGCACGTGAGGTGGGATGAAGGCAGTGGTATGAATGTGGCACAGCAGACAATGGTACGCACAGGTAGTGTGTAGGCCTTGTGGGCTGTATCGTGTGACTGGCCGTCTATATTAAGTTTTCCTTTCCCATTCGACCACAAAATGAAAGAAACGAAAACTACCCTGGCAGGTAAAAATGAGAGCGCTCACTTTTGCGCGACCACTACTTACGAACAAAGGGTAATAACTTACAAAATTTTCAACGTAAAAATCTCTGGATTATGACAATGTCCTCTTCGCACTCAAGCATGCTTCGGCATTAAGCACGCTTATGCTTTTTCCTCGACCGTGCTTTAAAAAATATTTGTTTGTTAGAGTTCTTGAATGTTGCTGGTATTTTGACTTCCTTTTGTGTTCATAGTGTATGATAACTGAAGTTTGTTTTTCAATGTTCCTCCGTTTATTTTGTCCTTCATTGTATTATTATTCTAAATTTGTTCTCAGAATCAACAAAGCCACTGAATCAAGACCAGAAAGAGGGAATCTCTAAGCGAGTTGGAGATGACTGGAAGAGACTGGGTCGTCGTTTAGGATTTGATAATGCGCTTCTTGAACAGTGGGAACTTGAAAAGAAACCAGACTATACAGAGCTGAACTATCATATAATAACAAATTGGGAACAAGAAAAGGACAGGGAAGCTACATGTGCAACTTTAGCTGAAATCCTGTATAAAAAGCTAGGCCGTGGAGATTTAGCTGACTTATTAGCAGATTGAGGAACCGAGATAGACCTAATGCTGCATGTTAAACACCTGTCAAAAGCCTCATGATACTTACAACAGTACATGATTTATTTTTGCTGTAGTTCTTTACCGTCCAACCAGTTTTAGAAGTAAAATTTTACATATTAAAAAATTGGCATTTATTCCATTTAGTCTAACTTCTTTTAACTGTTTATCTTTTTTTATATCAAGGCAGAATTTTCAAAAATTGTTTTTAAAACAATGGGATAGGTATAAGGGGTGTGGGAGGGTCATTTAAAATTACTTTCAATTTTTCACTTAAACAAATTACAACTTACATCCCAATTCACATGCCAAATATATTTGAAGGCTGAACATTTTGGGTTGTACATACTGGCGAGAAGTGAAGAAAAGAACTTGAAATCTACAGACCACGATGTCCTGGTCTACACATAAAAAAATTTGCTCATTGTACTTCCTCCATATATGTCATTATGACTGATTTAAATTGGCAGCAATGATTCAGTTCTTTGTTATGACATGTAATTAATGTAATACATGTTGTAGATTCATTTCGGAACTGAAACGAGTTTAAGAAATAAAGTGGTTGGACAATTATACAATGAATACATGTGACGAATCAATTTTCAAAATGGTTCTCGTTCAGATCTTAGTTTTTGTATTCTTGATTAGAATGAATCTGTGACTGAAAGGAAACTGAAAGTTGACAAAGACATGGTCATTGCCTTGGTGAAGACAATGATTTGTTTGATAATGTCCGGTTCGTTTTTTACAATACTAGTACTCCCTTCTCTGTGAACATGGGGGACCGGTGTCTGGTGTAGCAGTTACGCGCTTCGCCTTGCACACAAAAGACCTGAGTTCTATTTGCGTGTGTGGGGAAAATTTTTATAAAGTATCTTGAGTCTTTCTGTAGGAACATTGTGTCACCTACGATAAAAAGAAAAATATCATGGAAAGCAAGCTTGACCTCAAAGGGCTGATCTAACTTTCTAAGAAACCTTTGACTTTTGAATACTGACCACAGCTGCAGGCTTTATTGTGGCAAGTGCTGTTTGTGTCAGATAAAGGATACTTATCTTTTTCAACTAAGAAAAATAAATTTATCGTTAGTAGTGCCAGATAATATTGTTTTGTTCCTATGGTTCTTGAAAATGTGTTAACCACTTTACTCCTTTCCATTCTTTCCATAAAATATCATTTCATCTATATGGAACAATGGCATAATAGTCTTGTAAAAGAAACATTTTAAGTACATCTTTTTTTAAGTTAGGGTTAATATTCTACTCTCCACATGATTTTTTTGCTTTAAAGATTGGTATCAAGTATGATATAAGAATAGTACAAATGTGTTTCATTGTTGTTTTATAAATATTATGTGAATATTTATAAACAGTCGAGCCTGTTCTAACAGCCACCGTTACAAATGGTCACTTCCCTCTTCACCCTTTGCATTTTTTTTTTTACATTGCAGCCACCTTCTGTTGAGGAAAGAAGTATTGATACTGTCCAAGACTTCACCTAACTAAGACAACCTCTTCTCTCCCCGCAAAAAGGTGGCCGTCTCTTGGACAATTTTCACTGTATATATAATGTGTGTGTGTCAGGATGTGGTGGAATCAGGCGCTCGTCAGTTTTTGAGCATGTTGAGTTATTGATATCGTCTGAATACTTATAAATTCATTTGCCTTGCTTTCGATGAAAAATATACCCTTCTATCTCAAATAGAAGTCTAGATATTTTCGATTGAAGGAGGTGGGGTCACTAGGTTTCAACGGTAAAATTACTGAGAAAATGGCCACCAAAGTTTGATAACTTCAATAGCTTGAGAGTCCTTGAAAACTTAAAAATTACATATTTTGTGCCTTACGTTTTTCTGTTCGGTAACATTCACATGGAAATGTGTTTTTCCTATGAATATAAAAGGTGTTGAGCCATAAAATGAAAATTGGATAAAAATTGCCAAACTGACTGAAAAATGCCTGGGTTTTTTTTCGATTTTATTATTTTGACGAGCGCCTGATTTCACAAGATGGAAACACTAGTCTGCGAAAGATTGACAAGTCCTGGTTTAGAGAGTACTCTATGTGTAGGAATCACTACTGTAGTGCACTTCTCAAGTCTTCCATGACACTGACAGCTCTGTGATGTGGTTGGGGTCCCTTGTGTCTGTTGTTTCAGTTTTTACAGTTACTTTGTTTGATTTTGATGTGGGTGGTTGGCAGGTGCTCTGGTGTGGTTTGCTCCTTCTTTCTTATCAAACGTCTATCGTCCTTATCTCCCCTCCTTCTATTTTGTGTTTGTAACACCTCTAATCTTCGGCACTTATATGACCTAATTGTGTTGCAAGTGCCGTAAAACACTTGCTAAAACTAAAAAGGAAACGTTGTTTGATCTTGTTGTTCTCTCCAATCCTTAATACTTAAACAGTGGATGAGAATTTTAAAAAATTTTCAAGATAATTTGTAAATTTGTATTGAGTTACAAAACAGCCATTCATTATTATCATTATCTGAAGACATTTTTTTTTCTTTTAATTTTATGTACAATTGTAACACTCGTGATTCCCATTTTTTACACTGACTGAAAAGTTATGATTGTAGGTCTGATTTTATGACTTAATTTATGAAACATGGACTGACTATTCAATCAGGCTGTTTTCATTTCATGATTTTGTTGACCCCCTCAGTCGTATTACACCATGGGGAGGGGGGGGGGCATTGTTCTGGATACTATACAAATACGAAGATCGTTCAAAAAGTTTTGCCTTCTCTGCAATATCTTCTAAACTATTCAAGATATCTTCCTGAAATGTGTACACAATTGACTTTCAATAGGTATACTCTCAAACCCAGAAAATAGAATTATGCTATGATGTCACACCTATATGCTATTGCTGTTTATATCATGGAAGCTAGGGTACATTGTCGCCGAGAAAATGACGTCCAGCAAACCTATGAATGTGCGCTTAAAGCAAAGAGCTGTTATTGAGTTCCTTACTGGAGAGGGAGCTGCACTCATTGATATCCATAGAGGCGAATGAAGCTTATCTATGGTGAAGCATGTGTAAATGTAAGTACTGTTCGAAGATGGGCAAAGGAGTTCGCTGAAACCAGTCCAGCAGAGACAGATTTGCATGACGAAGCTCGTTGTGGTTGTCCAAACTCTGCCAGTGATGTTTAACACCAGGAGAGAGTGGATGAGATCATCCAAGCAAACCGGCGGATCAAAGTAAGAGATGTCAGTGAAATGCTAGGGATTTCTGTAGGGAGTGCTCAGTATATTATCCATGATGTATTGGGTTACTGGAAAGTGAGTGCACGATGGGTTCCCCACATGTTGTCACCCGAACTGAAATTGAACCGAAGTCAAGTTAGTGATGAACTCCTGGCTCGTTATACCGATGAAGGTGAAGCTTTCTTGCGGAGACAAGACTTAGGTACACCATTATGACCCAGAGAACAAAAGACGAAAGAATACAGGCACACTGGCCCCAAGAAGTTCAAAGTTGTTTCATCTGCAAAGAAAATGCTTATGACAGTGTTTTGGGACTGTGATGGTCTGATTCATATATGGAATTTTTGGAACAGGGTTCAACTCTGAACGATATATTGATACCCTGAGAAAACTTAGAGCACGGCTGTCACGAGTTCGGCCTGGTAAAAATGCAATTTTGCACCACAACAACGCCCGTCCACACACGAGTCGACAAACTCAAGATGGCATGAAAAGTCTCAGATTTCAAGAGACCTTACCGTACCCATCATACAGTCCCGACCATGCTCCGTCTGATTTTTATCTTTTTCCTAAGTTGAAGGAATACCTGAAAGGAAAACGTTATGCAGATGACAATGAAGTTCAAGAAGATGTGCGTCGCTAGTTCAGAGGAAAACCACATGAATTTTTTGCCAACAGCATGAAACGACTTATTCGACGTTGGCGCATCTGCATCAACAAAGAAGGCGACTATGTTGAAAAGTAAAGGTTCTCTCATGTAGCAGACATCCTAAGCTTTCATTTGGTGTATAACTTTAGTATGTAGCATCAGTAATAACGAAATTATGAACTTGGAGGCAAAACTTTTTGAACGACCCGTGTAGTAAATGTATTTTTAGTAAATGAAACGATGATACTGTTATGTTCAGTCAGTATGGTACTAATCCCCTTCGGCCGTTCTAAAGTCTTCGGGGTCATGTTGTTATATTTTATACTGTGCAAAAGAATCAAATAACACTGTATTAACTCACTGTTATATGGAGCTCGGCTGTCTGTTTCTTGCTCACCACATTCTTGGTACCTTGATCTAATCGTGTAATTGGTTTTATGAAATTGTTCAGCTCATCAAAGAAAAAAAAAACCTTCCTGATTTATATGATGAGAAAAGACACTAATAATATTTTAATAATATTAGCTCACAGCACTTTTGGTCACGGTTAACTGAAACACATCAAGGATTGGCAAATGTTTGACGCTTACATAATTTGGGTAAACGGACAGCGAGAAATTTAATTTATGTTATCTGTGCTTGACTGTATGTAACGTGCATGTTGACTTTTGATTGTTATTGAGGACCCACAGATTGACCCCAGCAATGGTTTTAAAAGGAAAAAAGGAGTTGACCTAATTCTTCCAATTACATGATGAGAGCATAACGCCTTTGACATTGTTGTTATTTGATACTTTCAGATATTGTTGTTGATTGATGAGTTGTCATTTATAACGAATTGTAAAGTATTATTATTGGCAATATTCACCCACCTTTTTGTACTTCTTTTCTCTATTTTTTGTAATTTCTTTCAAATGAAAGTTATTAATGTTTCTCTTTTTGATTTTTAAATTGTTTTATTCTCATGTGGTACATTTTTCATTTCATCAACATTATGCTGGATTGAAATGTTTTTTTGAAGGGTAGTGTAGATAGATATATAGGCCTATATATTTATATTCCGTAAACTTTGCATTCCCTGATGTAAGAATCAATGAAACCTTGGACTTGCGAAAATGAAAAGGAATCCCTATTTTTTAAAATTGAAATCAATAAAATAGCTTTATATTTAATTATTATTAACCAAACCCTTACTAATGAGCAGCCTTGGAACTAACTAAAGATGGGTAGGCATGCTTAGCAGAAGAGTTATATATTTGTGATCTCAGGTGGTGCCCCGTGATGGGGACAGATTATGCACAGGTCTGCGGCATCAAATGTCAAACTGTCTTGACAGCCTTTGTTGCACTATCACTAGTACTAGTATTACAAAAATAGGTAAATGCTTTGCAAGTTTTTTCCTTTACGCCTGTAAGCATAATAATACCATTTGTGAAACATGTTGACAAAATGAGTAATTCTCAGATTGTAGCCCTATGGACATGGATAGGTCAAACATATAGGTTGAATTTGTACAATATTAGTTTGAGATGATAAAAGTCATGTTAAGCTTGAAGAAAATTGCATGAGCTGAAGATCAATAAACTTGGCCTCTATGTCGATTTTCAGCCAATATCACCATTTGTCACTTTTGGATCATTTCAAGCAGTAGATCTAATTCGTTTTGTCAACACGCCTCTCATTTTCATTTACAAAAATGCTCAGGTTTGTTACATTTTGAAAGGATCAGTTTCGGTTATATATGTATATTATTGCAAAGATAGTCTAAATAGAAGCCACAGGGTGTTCTCTGCCAAATTTGTGCTTGATTGGATTGAGTTAAGGCATGCGCTGCACTATATAGCTTTTCGTTCAATTTCAAACAGCAGTATTGATCCACCTTTGCACATAATGTACAATGTTTTCTCTCCCTCTATTTCTAACTTCTATGAGACATGGAATGCTTCTCAGACTTGTCTAAGGAAATTACTGAGAATCAGATCATCACCAGTGATGAGGAAGTGTTAACTCATTTGAGCCAGAGCTATTTTTCAAGTAACAACTATTGCAG